CCAAATTTTAATCATTTACGATGAAATACATATCCAGGAACAAAAATGTAAAGCGGATTAGCTATTACCATCACTGTATTGTGTCAATTGGCAAATAACCTCCACATTCCCTATCCTCGCAGTACAAACTTATCTTTTTGTGACGTCACAAAAAGATTTTCAGTGACTTTCGGGGGGAATTTTTGGGGGTAAGGCATTGTCCAATACGTTTAATATTGGGTGTCCGAGGTTTTCCAATGACTTTCTAAACAATGATGACAAGATTTTGGATTTCTAGAAACCGTTTCATATCCATTTTAAGTGGAAGAATGTCAACAATTAAACAATTTGGTTTTTATCGAAGGAAAATTCAGCTAGGCTCTAGCATGGTAGACTACGCTGCTGCACTGTCGGTTCGTGTTAGGCCTGGCTGCCATCAGCCTATCGGCACTCAATGGCAGGGGACAGCCAGGCCTTGGTATTGTTAACTGACACGCGATTTAGTTTACAAATTTTTCAATTTACGAACACCCCTTGGTACCAAGGATGTCTTATTGTATTTGTTTTCTTCACCATCAACAGGTTTTCACTTACCAGAAGCTGTGTTCACTGTTAAGGAAAAACCTTTTCCTGATATACTAGCATCGGTTCGGAATTGAATCCACGCTGATTCCGAATCGAGAACAATTCCATCTGGTAGATTAGAGCCGGTAAAGATGGCATATCTTGATGACATGTCCATTGGGTCATTACCAGTACCAATAACCAAGACATCATAGCTGGTAAAACAAAGTACAAATAAGTAACATTAGGTCCAAAAAAATATATATATATTGTGTTGCCCTTCGCGACCAACCAAAATTTTCCCAAAAATATCGGGTCGGTATTTTTTTTTTCTGAAATTTTGTTCAAAGGTCTTCCTTTCCCTCCAGTACAAATTCGAGAAATACCACTTCCGAAATTAACATTTAGAACATAAAATCTAAAACAGACATATATTTTTACCAAAATTGGGCCATAGATGCACGCGTAAAATCAGTAAAATAGAAGGCATACTTTTGAGAACTGAGCACAACGACGATGTATCCACGTAACATCAGATCTCTCAAGCTGAGCTGTACGTCAAGTCATGACCAGATCTAGGCCAAGGCTATTCTTTACTACTGCTGTACAATGTATTCATTACCTTACGGTATATTGGACAATAAATAAAAACAGGCTTACGTCTAGCCATCGCTAGTCAGTACATAGGCATTTTAGGCTCTGCTACAGTTTTAGGCCAACTATGAACGAAATAGTTCTCTTCTTTTTTTCTCGAAGTTTACTTTCTTCAAAAATTTGATGTAAATATTACATTTTCATTTTGCTTTCTGTGTATACCAAATTTTCTTTAGTTTTTGTATTTAATTTCTTAACTTAATTTTATTTCTTATTTTAATGTTTTAACTATTAAACTGGACCTTTAGGATATAAAAGTTGATTAAGTATCCAGAATAAAGAAAGAAAGAAATAAAGAAAGAAAAAAATACCTGCCCGTTTATGATCGTGTGGATCGGATGCACAAATTATTCTACGTTTCAGAGCCAAATAAATCTTTCTTTAAACTGATTTATTTTTGTTAGATTTACTTCAATTTAAACTTGGTTAGTATTTATTTCTTCATAATTTGAATATTTTTTATTTGGCAAGCTTGCCATCGTTCTATTGTGGTGCCTAGGAGACCTTATTCCTAGGTTCCTCATAGTCATAGAGACTGTAGTTTGAGGCCCGACCGACTGACCATCTGAATTTTTTCCAGTTAAGCGCAACACAACAATTTCTCTTTTTGGCCTTATAATTCATCTTAAATAGAAATTTTTTATTATGAAATAGTTTGTTTTCTAAATCATGAGCACCACCAATATTATTAGAATGCGATGGCATTAGGGTGAACGACATGTGAGCAATAAAAAAAAGTTGAACAAAAAACTCTTTTTCGTCTTGGCTAAAGAGATGAATGAAATGTTGAAGCAAGGATTGTAGATACAGTAATTAAAAGACCTGTGGTGTAGTACATATTTGCATACTATAGGCTGTTACGGACTGAAACCACAATGGGTAAAGATTAATTCTATCATCCTCATAAAACCTCCCTTTTTATTACTGAAGTTCTTCTGTCATTACCAACGCATTACTCACGTGTTCTCCAGCTCAAGATAAAAAAAGTCCAGTCGGAGCCGTTGGCCAGGAATACCAGTAAATAACCAAATATAAAGCAGGTTGTCAGGATAAGAGTTGGGATAGTCAGGACTTGTAATTTTCACTGAAATTACAAAGAAGGAATGAAGGTACGAATAATACATTTTCACATTAAGTATGATAAACAATGCATTTCACTTTTCATTCCAAAATAATAAATATCACAACATTAATACTATTAGAATGTGCTTGCTGCTCGATTGGAACTTAATGATAAAGGATCTCCATTTCTTAAAATACATGGGTTCACCACTACTGTCAACTGATACGATGCTACCATACCTCCATCTGAAGGTACACTGTGTGTGTAGTTACGAATTGTCATTGCTGGTGGGTCTGATGGCAATTCCTTCTCTTCAACATCTATTTAGATAAATAAATATATGAGAATATTAATTCAAAATAAAAATTTTTATTTACTTATTTATTCAACTGAACATACACTTTTGTTTCAGTGGCACACAACAATTTGGTGCGTTCAATGAGAAAGA